ACTCTAGGTTCCAGTCCAGGGACCTGCAATAGCCAGTAATGTCCCTGGTAAAGGTGACATGACAGCTCTAAGTCCCTGGGCCTCCTCCCCAGCACCTCCCTTACCACAGGTTCTTCCTCCGGGCACCCGCTTGCACCTTCTCCTCCCAGACTCTCCACAGCCTCCTACAGAAAGGGACCCTTCTGACCCAGCCAGGTTCTTCATTGGCCCCAGGTGGTCTGACTAGTCTGACTCACTTGACTCCGGAAACCTAATTGGCTCCAGGTGACTTAATTGCCCTGATTGGCTCGGAAAAGTTCCTGCTGGCTCTGGACTAGTCCTTGTTAGTTTACCCTGGGAACAGACTTACTCGGTGTAGGGCTAATACATTTCCCTTTTACCGCTCTGCTGTACCCCTCTGGCCGGACCCTGTCACAATAATATAAAAACTCAACACATCCTGGTTACAAGCACCTGCCACCAGCTTTTGCCAGTTCAGATTTTGGTTTGCATGCTCAGAAACCGACATTTGTGCGTGCCCATGAGCGTCCGTATGTGCAAATCTAGTCACCTGTCCAGTTCCTGCACCCACACTAGCTCTGGGGGCGCTGTCTCAGGATACTCTCCATGAATGGCTTGAAAACTCTTCCTAAACACATTTCAATTCCCCTCCTGCCCCCCATTACTTTCCTAAAGCAGCTGATCTGTCACATGAGCTCCGCCCGATGCTTGCCTTTGGCCACCACTTCTGCCAGGCAGCCTGGCGTAGCCTTGGAAATGGGGCTTGTTTAAGTAACAGCTTCCTCCGAGCCCGCTCAGCAAATTGGAAATGCCCCTGCGTGAGCCTTACAGGGGTTTGTGTTTTAGACCCGACGGGTCTTGTTCTGCAAGGGACGGGGCTTTGGAATCTGCGGGGTATTTCCTAGCAGTCGCCAGTGGCTGGTTTTGAATTGATGAAATTTAGGGTTGACACCAACCCCGAACGCTCTAGCCTCAGGCCTGGCCATTGCATTTCTGAGACACTGGCCAGCATCTGGGGAAGTGCTTGGCTCTGAACTTGGGGGCAGTTGAGACGGATCCAATGTCTAACTACCCCTTCCTAGACTGGGCTGAGCCAAATCCCTAGGTGAACTCTTGTGACGGTTGAGGAGGTTAGAATTTGGCGTCTGAGGTCCGTCACAAATCAGAACTAGTATAAAGCCCCTTAACCAGCCTGCTCAAAAGAGACAGCCCTCGGTAACACTAGTGGCATCTCCCTAATTTGCACCGGACAAGTCTTCAGTAAACCTAGAAGGTCGGGTTAAGGTGCGCAACTCCAGGTCAATAAAACACTGAACTGGAGTCGGCTTAGCTTGAGCCGAGCTTGGCGCCATCTTCACAGAGGGAGGCTGGCAGGTGAAAACACTTCTGTCGGCTTCCTCTACTCCTCGCGACGGTCAGGAGTACCGGTGCCGACCGGAGCCGTCTTCAGCATTCGATTTAGTGGGTCTGAACTAGGCCTGCTAAATCGAAACCCAGAAGATGGGTCTCCGGCGTGGCAAGTGGAGACGTGGCCTGAGACCTTTAGGCCTTTCCTCACTTCAGCCGTGTCATGACTAATGTTCGTGGAGTCCCGGCAACACGTGGCTGCTCTTAAGGAAGAGTACCGGTGCCGACCGGAGCCGTCTTCAGCATTCGATTTAGTGGGTCTGAACTAGGCCTGCTAAATCGAAACCCAGAAGATGGGTCTCCGGCGTGGCAAGTGGAGACGTGGCCTGAGACCTTTAGGCCTTTCCTCACTTCAGCCGTGTCATGACTAATGTTCGTGGAGTCCCGGCAACACGTGGCTGCTCTTAAGGAAGCATGACTATTGCCCATGGCTGCACGAGCCGCCATGGTGGCT